GACTAAGTCCAGAAAGATAACCTTAGTCTTTCAGTGCTCTGACTGTAAATGCTATGACCACAGCTGCAGCCACAGTGCTGGCCTGGAGACCATGCATGCCCAGTCTTGTGGATTACGGCCAGAAAAGCTGAATGGACTGAGACTCCGGGCACTTGTAAATTTCAAGACGGCACAAAATGTTCGAACTGAGAAGGTCTTAGAGACCATGGATCTCATCCATTCTGGATGAAGCAAGACCAGAAATGACTCCTACTTGCCCAAGGTCACACAGACGGGGGGTTATGAAGAGGTCTATGCCTGCTTTAGATTCCCAGCCAAGGACAGTTTGCCCTGGATCACACTGACCTCTTGCCATCTTCCCAGCTGGAAAGCAGGCAGGTGCTGGGGACCAAACCCAGGGCCTCACAAGCTGGGCTTGTGTTCCATCTACCACTAAGCCCACCTCTAACCAGTGCCACTCTTTATAAGTGAGCCATTGCCATTTGTTGTCAACATAATGTCCACCAATTTGTGACACTCCATAGTTTATCTCATCAACCAATGAGACACGTTACTGTTAACCTGGTTTCACTTTTTTTTTTTAAACCCAGTACGCATGCTGGGCAAGGTATTCTACCACTGTGGATTATGTCCTGCCCTTGTTATTTCCTTTTCAAAAAACAGAAAATCTGAGGGAGAGAGTGGTCACTAAGCCAGGACAAAGACAGGTCTAGTGCACTGTGGCTTCAAAGTCTACACTAGAAAACATCTCGTTAGAGTTTATGACATATGAACTCTTTATAGAATGAGGAGAAGAGAGTAAGCATAAACACCACAGGCACGATTACCAATGCCATAATGAACTTAAAATCTATCTGCTTTTAAAGTGTTCAGTCGATCTCACGGGCTGACTAGATGGCTCAGCGGATGATGGTGCTCGCTCCCAAACCTGATGAGCTAAATTCAGTCCTCAGAACTCACATGGCAGAGGGAAGGAACTGATTACTAAAAACTGCAAAGCTGCCCACTGACCTCCACATGTGTGCACACACAATAATACATACATACATACATATACATACATACATTGATTTTAAAAATTCTCTTGGTCATGCATTTTAACTTTAAATTCCTATTACGTGTGTTTATTTGCTTGTTTGTTTCGTGTGTGTTTCTATGCCTTGACTCAGGTGTGGAGGTCAGAAGAAAGCTTTCAGGCATTGATTTTCTCTTTCTGCCACATTATCTGGCTCAGCAGCAAGCACCTTTATCCTCTGAGCCACCTTGCCTGCCCTCAGTTATCTGTTTGTTCAGGAAATGTCTGGATACATGTTTGATGGGACTATAGAAAGCATGCTAGCATTTCAAGTACATATTTTTCTCATGCTCAGTCATCACAAGGAGCTTTCCCCTTGCTAGAGGTAGGAAGTGACTCGCCTGCTGGTTTGGAAGGGTCTCTTCTGGGCAAGCTTAAGTTACTGCCCGCTGCCTGCTTTGGTGGTCCTCCCCCCCAACACATGCATACACACACCCTTCCGTTCTTCAAGGAACATCATTCTTATGTTAACTTTCCACTAAAATCAAATCTCAAATTAATAATAGCCAAACTGAAACCAGAGACTGACAGAGACTGAACCTCTAAAGATTAATAATATATATATATATATATATATATATATATATATATATATATATATTTGGTTTTTCGAGACAGGGTTTCTCTGTGGACCAGGCTGGTCTCGAACTCACAGAGATCCGCCTGCCTCTGCCTCCCAAGTGCTGGGATTAAAGGCGTGCGCCACCATCGCCCGGCAATAAAATATATTTTTGATAAGATATTCAAACCCAACATCACTGGAATAAATAACGAACATTCAATTATATATTTTTCACTTTCCCTCTTACTAAAGAAATGATGTCAAATCTCATTATCTTGCTTACCCAGGAGAAGAAATCCAGGAGCAATAACAGCTCAAGTAAGCAAATTACAACTGTACCTAAGATCAAATTTCGGGGAGAAAATGGAGTGCATTAAGAAGATATACTGCCACGTAGGCTCATTTCCCCGGCCAGATGTCTTCATTGTGGAGCAAGCAAACATCCATTCTGCAAAGAGGACCAATCCTAAAAACACAAGAGCCACACAAATGTCACCCTGTGCCTGAAGTCAACCACCCAGGCAAGGAAAGCAAGGGCAGTCACAGGTACACAGCTGACTGGGTGAAAAGTGAAGAAAGTTTCCACAGAGCGTGAGGCACGTGGCCCAAGCAACAATGCTTCGCGTTTTGACAATATCTTTTCAATACCGTCATAACAACAGTGGAACCAGCTACCAAGGGCTGGATGAAATGGCAGACTATAATCTATCTGCTCCATAAAAAAAAAAAAAAAAAAAGCAAAACCTCTCCTTTGCATACCTGACCTGCACCTGGTAAGCAAGAAAACATCTCTACGCTCAGCGTTGCCTAAGCAAGAGATTCAGACCCAAACCCACCGGGCGGCAAAGCGTTTCCAGTGCAAAATACCTTGTTTCAAATACACTACCGTTTTTGATTTAGCACCCTCTGTAGAAGCTGCCCAACATGAGCCAACTCTTCAAAACAAATCTTACCTAAAGTCACAGGGAGAACAAGCCCAGAACTACTCTGTCCCACTGACAGTAACACAGGTACCATTGCAATGAAACCAAATCTACACTCCAGGGCTGTCCTATCACCCAGGACATTGAAGCATAATAAAATTACAGCCATCTGGGACTTCAAGAGTAATTTGGGCTCTATTTGGCTCTCTCCTAACCCTTTGCTGACAGAAAAGGGGTTTCCAACCTTTACATTATGAATCTTTCCTCTTGGGAGTCAAGACTTGACCACAAACTCTGGCAGACGTTGGTTAGAGCATAAGTACAAATTTTATACAAAACACCTACTCTTAAAGTAACAGTATATCCCGCCACTTAATACCACTCGGGTTTTTGCTCTTCTCACATGGCATACTAAAGGAAAGAAAGGCACGTGTATCAAAGCACTTCTAAAATGCTTGCCCAGTGGAAGTCTTAGCCACAAGAATGGATTTTTATGAGAACACAATAAGAAAATACTTCAGAATTCTTCAAAGCACCCCCATGATTTAAAAGAAAAATGTACTGAAACCCTAGATGGGCTAATGAAATTTCACTGACCCTTCATTACCTACTGATTTCCTTCTGCGCCTTGAAACATTTCTTAACTACTGAGAGGGCAGACGGCACTTCAGAGGAAAGTCCCGTAACACACCTGTTAGGGAACTGGCTCACCATTGGCTCGGCTGTGCGGCCTTGATAAGAGAGAAAACAGGCAAAGGCAGCGCGAACACTGGTTCTGTTCTCGTCTCATGTCATATTAGCCAGAACACTCCGCGAGCTCCAGACCCAAGAACTAGTTCTGTGCCTCAGTTTCCCTACCCACTAACTATCACCACTAAGTATCAGGTGTGATACTATACAAGTTCTATAATCAAAATAATTACACATAATCACCTATAAAGTCCCCATCAGAACATTAATTACATTGAAATGCTGTCAGAGTACAACTTCCACCGGCTTTTGCAATATTCTCTTCTTTCAAATATCCCAACGGAGTTTTAGCTCGACTATTCGTCAAGATTAGACAAACCCCTATTTGTTTTAACAACATCGACATAAAAAGCCAAGGCAGACGTATGGAAACCTTCCCTAGGCAAGGTTATCAGCACTTGAATTATCGCGTCCAAAGCAGATCCTACAGAACCTAACTAGGGCGAGGCTTTGGTTTTGCTTGTGCTGTGAGAATAGGATTTCATTCACAGACAGCTTCGGGGCCCAGGAACAGAAGAGGACAAAACATAGAAAAGCAGCGAGTCCGTTCTTTATAACTATTTCTTGATATAGAATCAATGTGCAGAACCAGTGGTCAGTCTCCTAAAGACTGGGACTCCAGCAGGGGTCAGAGAGCCAAAAGCTGGCAAACACAGATGTTGCCCTTCCCCCGGGCCCACCCAGCTGTAACCATTAGGCGGGTGCTGTGGGCTCCTAAAGTAGTCTCCCTTAGAAACCTGACTGGTGTCTGGGAAACGAGAGCTGGGTTTCCTGGGTGGTCCGAACACCCAGTGTCCACAGGGCTCACAATAAGCGAGAATGCCTTCTCCACCCGTGACCCCTACCACCCACACTCGAGTATTCCAGCGAAAACCCATGAAACAAGTGCATGCATTCCCACGGAACCCTAAAGGCCCCTCCCAAACAAGATAATCATAGATGCTTTTGTAAACTCAGCAAACGTTTTCCACAGAAATAAATGTCCTGAGTTTGGGACTGACCAGCAGTCTGGGGTCCCCAAGCACCTGAACTCCGACCAGTAGCACAGATGGAAAGAGGGACCCCTGGCTCTCAAGACGCTCCCTTCACCACCACCCTCATGCCATTGATTTCCACCGCTCGCGGTGAGCTGCGGTTGAACTCCCTCACCCTCCGCCCCTTCCCATCCCGGTGCCCGAGGGAATGAGGGGTGGCCGCTGCCTCCGCCCCGGTGCGCTCCGCCACAGCCGCCTCCGACCCCGCAGCGCCTAGCACTTGTTGCCTTGCCCCAGAGACCAGGAGGCGGCGCCCATCCCTCCGGCTGCCCAGCCGGCAGGGTGCAACCTCCCGCCACCTCTGCGGACCCCTGCGTCCTCGGGGACCCTGTTGAAACTTTGTCCCCTGAGAACTCAGGTGGGCAAACTTCACCCGGGGCTGCGGGGAGACAAGAGGGATGGCGCTCCCGCAATCAGCCTTTACCTGGAGCTGTGGCCCGGGAACGCCCGGAGCCCTGGCCAGGCGCTGTCCCCGCGGCCTGCCGAGGGCTACACACCGGCCAGCGTCGCCCGGAGCGAGCGGGGAAGCCGGTCCCCAGCTGCCCACGCCCCTCCGCTCCGCTGGTCGCACCGAGAGGCGGAGTCACCGCTCCCCGCTCGCCCGCCGCGCCCACAGCTGGGGCCGCCCCCGCGCCCCCCGGTTCCCGCCTGCCCACCTCCGGCCTGCCGGGCTCGCCGCCACCTCCTCATCACATGGCCGCGCCCGCCACCGGCTCCAGGAGGAAACCTGAAGCTGCTGTGACTCCGCCGCCCCCCCTCTCCCTCCGCGGGGCGGCGGCCGTTCGCCTCGGTTTTCCTCCCGCGGCGGGCACGGAATGGGACCTGCCAGGCCAGGGCAGGGTTGCACCCTAGCGGCGACGCCCGCTCGCCCCGGGGGCCTCCACGCCCTGGTGGCGCCGGAGGAAGGAGCTGGCCTGTCCGCTCCTAAGGGGAGCAGTGCCAGGCCCTAGGGAGGCTCGGGTTGTCCTCAGCCCAAAGCCACCACACCCGGGACATAATAGCACCCGGGTCTGTTACAATAGGAAGTACTATTTTAAAAGCAGCAGTCCTCTTAATTCATGGGAATGATGGATGTTACTCTGGTCCAAAGCTTTACAGGCTCGATTCCCTAGGCTTTTCTGCACACAGGTGCCTAAATGGCATCCTAAAAAAAAAAAAAAAAAATAGGTTTTTTTTTTTTTTTTTAGAAAGTCATAGCCACTTATACAATACTCAGCAATGTGAAAGGACCCCCTCATCTTGCTGCACCTAGTTACTGGGTTACTCAACCCCAAGGTAAAAATTCTCTTCATTATACGGCTCACCATAAAATGGTAAGTTTAAGACGACCATTGCAGCTTTAAATATAAAATTATGCATCTGTTCTTCCAAAATAACCTTGAATATTGGCTTTATTTTTCTCAAGATATCTACATGAACACGAGAGAGGTGGTAGCCCCAAGAAACTGGGCCACCAACTCTCCAAATCAGAAGCAGGACCCCTCCCTAACCATCACCACCAAATGCCCTTGGCCGCCCTCCTAATGCTCCTGGTTTAAGGAGTGACAGGATAGCAAGAACAGATGTCCAGGGGTCCGCGGTCTTTAGTCCTGTCCCAGCACGGACGCTGCTCTTCCTTCCTGATAAAGGCCCTGACATTGGCCTTGCATTGCTATTGACACACTCGCATCAACCGACCTCACACTGCAGCACCTTGGGCCTTAAAAAAGAGCCCTCACCATTGAAGAATTTCAAGGTCCTGAAATTAAAAAAAAAGCAATAATATTATTTTCAAACATCAATATTTTCAATGTGAAAATGTCAACCGGAGAGTAGCTCCGTCGACACACCAGACCAAAACGGTTTCCAAGCTGGTTAGCAGGAAAGTTCATAAAAGAAGCCTTCATTGTTGATCTCTTTGTTGCTGTCATCCTTTTATTTCTTTTATTCCCTTTTTCATCGATTCTGTCATATAGCTAGATAAAAAAGCAAGGAATTGCGGGAAGAGGAACAGGTATTTATACGCCATTACCCAAACCTCTTCCACACTAAAAAGAAGCAAAAGAGAAAACTGTCACTAACACTCTCAGCAGGATTGTGGACGAGGACATGGAACCCCACTAGCTGCAGCTCTTCTTGCCCTCTCTCAAGCACTGAACTTGATCAATATTTAAATAAGTACTTGGCTTTCACCTGCTCTAGGCTTAAACTCTAAGCGCCTGCTCTGGCGACTTCAAAAGAAGCCGGTGACTGCCTGAGGCAGGAAGATATCCCTTGTGTAAAGAACCTCTTGCATCTGATTGAACTGGCTCCTGCAGACACAGGTCGCTCAGGACACCAGTAGCACTGAGTGGGGCTGGAGCTGCAGGTGTTTAAAATTGAGGTGAAGCCTGCCATTCTCAGGCCACAGACAAGGAGCGTTCAGCCAGGAAGAGAGCCGGTGGGCCATCCTGCTGGCATTGCCCCAGCTTTCAGTTGAGTCCGCTGCAGTGTCCCAGCTGGTCTGTCTTGTCTAGCAGTCCAACCTCCGTACTTCCTTGACCTTTGTTCTACCCAGACCTCCTCCATAAGCCCCTTCTCCATTGTTCTGCTTTCTTCCACCCTCCGACCTTTGACAGAGAGCCATAGTCTTATCACACGAAGTAGCCCTTGCTTATACTTGCCGTCATAGGCAGGACTATTAAAATTCTTACTCTGTCTCCAACATGCCCTTTCGAGGACAAAGAGCTGATGATCTCCAGTCCTGGCACAGGGCACCTGGGGAGTTTTGAATGTTAGTTTAGTTGTTTTTTTCAATTGGGTATGCAGTATGGAAAATGTCCATCATAATTTGTGAACATTAATGGATAAGAATTGCACAATTTGTGAACATTAATGGATAAGAATTAGTCCCAATTCTCTTGTCACCTAGTAGTTCCCTATACTTTATTTCCTTTGTTAATAACTCCGTGAACATGAATTTAAAAATCCAGGATTAGGCTATGAGCATTAAATGGCCAACAAATATACCATTCCGAGTAAGTTTCATTGACTTAAATGAAAGCTAGGTCTGAGAAGATGGCCGGTTTGTCAGGGAATGGGACAACTTCGGAATTAGAAAAAAAAATGACCTTGGGCACATCGGTCTTTCTAAGCCTTTATTTCTTCATCTGTAAAACGTGAATAGTGTCTGCAATCACTGTGGAGATTAAAGGCCTGGCAGTGAACGCAGACTGAAATGACAAGGACACATGAAATAGCACTAAGCAATATTTCAGAGGATGGAATATTAAAACACTTCTTTCTTTAAAAAAAAGAGATGTATTTAGTTTTCAATTATGTAAATGTGTGCATACCTACCTGGGGGGAGCGGGTCTACGTACATGTGGATGCAGTACCTGCAGAACTCAGAAGTGGGCTGCAGGGCCCCTGGAGCTGCGCCGCAGGTAGGCTGTGAGTGTGGATGCAGGGAACCGAACCCTGCTTGTCTGCAAAAGCAACACTAGCCCTTAACCATCAGGCATCTTGTCAGCAAGCACTTAAAATCAGACGGCAAGTTCTAGATTTTTACACACTTCCTTGGTCTAAAGTCAGGGCACATAGAGAAAGGAGGCTGTTCTAGGTAGGGTATCGTGACTGTGATGAAACACCGTGACCAAACCATGGGGAGGAAAGGGTTTGTTTCGCTTATACTTCCATTTCACTGTTCATCATGGAAGGGAGTTAGGACAGGGACTCAAGCGGGGCAGGAACCTGGAGGCAGGAGCTGATACAGAGGCCATGGATGGGCACTAATTACTGGCTTGCTCCTCATGGCTTACTCAGCCTGCTTTCTTATAGAATCCAGGACCAACAGCCCAGGGATGGCACCACACACAACAGGCAGAACTTGCCCCCACCAATCACTAATTAAGATAAACGTCCAACAAGCTTGCCTACAGTCCAGTGTTATGGAGGCGTTTTCTCAGTTGAGGTTCCCTCTCTGGTGACTAGCTTGTGTTGAAGTGACATAAAACCAGCCAGCAGAGAAGCCATTCTAACTTGCTTTCTTTTTTTTAATATTTTATTTATTTATTTATTTATTTATTTATTTATGTATTATACAATATTCTGTCTGTGTGTCTGCCTGCAGGCCAGAAGAAGGCATCAGATCTCATTACAGATGGTTGTGAGCCACCATGTGGTTTCTGAGAATTGAACTCAGGACCTTTGGAAGAGAAAGCAATGCTCTTAACCACTGAGCCATCTCTCCAGCCCCCTAACTTGCTTTCTATGGCTGTGACAATTCCAATAACCAAAAGCAAGCAGAGAGGAAACAGTTTATTTGGTTTACATTTCCTGATTACAGTCCATCAAGGTAAGTTAAGGCAGGACCCTGGGGGCAGGAACTGAAGTGAAGGCCACAGGGGAGTGCTGCTTACTGGTCTGCTTTTTCACATAACCAGGACCACCTGCCCAGGGGTATCGCCCACATTAGGCTGGACTCTCCCAAATCAATTATTAATTTTTAAAATATGCTCCCATATTCTAGTCTACAGGCCAATTTAATGGAAGCGTTTTCTCAGCTGAGGTTCCCATTTCTCCGGTGACTCTAGATTGTGTCGAGTTGGGGGAGGGGAGGACTAACCAGCACAGAGGCCAACATGCTCAAAACCAGGGGACAGGTCTCAAGTGGGACACTGTCCATGCACAAAATATACCTAAAATATATAATATATTTAAATAAAATATATAATATATTTATATATAATATATATAATAATATATAAGTATATATTATATATAAACATACACAAAATAATCCCTAGGGGCCTAAAACTCTAACACAGAAGATTTGTTCCACCTCTATTGCCACTCTTTTAAAAAAAAATAACATTTTTTAAATGAACGTTTTAATGTAAGTATACCAAGCAATGCGCTTCACTGGGGACAGTGCTTATATTCACTGTCATTCTCTCTTCTGCCTGTATACTATCACTACCTGGAAGTAAAATGTGTTGACCCCGGGGCCCCACACTAGACCAGAATCTCCAGGGGGTGGGTCCCAGGTTTGTAAGTACCCAGAGGATTCCAAAATCCAGACCAAGGTGGAATCAAATGACAGGAACTGAGTTTGTCACCAGTGCAGGAGGATGAGAGCCGACCTCCAATGACGCAAGGGAAAGTGACACAACCCTTCCGTCAGGTGTGCTGTCCTTCGGGGACATGCACATGGGAATCATGTTGGGATTTGTTGAAAGCTACATTCTTGTTTAATATCAGCTGAAGGCTACAATGCTGCCTTATAGACGGAAGTTTCTGTCCCACCTGGTCCCACAGCCATTCAGTCCCAAAGAAACACACAGAGGCTGATATTAAGCTGTTTGGCCTCTTAGCTCAGGCTTATTATTAACTAACTGTTACAACTTAAATTGACCCATAATTCTTATCTATATTTAGCCACGTGGCTTACTTAGGACCTTTTCTCAGTGAGGCATTCTCATCTTGCTTCCTCTGCATCTGGCTTATGACTGCTTCTGCCTTTCCTCTTCCCAAAATTCTCTTAATCTGGTTGCCCTGCCTATTCTTCCTGCTTGACTAGTAGCCAATAAGCTTTTTATTAAACTAATACAAGTAACAAGTCTTTACAGTGTATAAGAGCTTTATCCTACATTTCTGATGAGCTTCAGAAGATGCCCACTTGCTGTAGCATGAATAATAAAAACCAGGGGTTCAAGCTGAAGATCAGAAAAGCAAAGCAGCCAAACCACTAGAGAGCTCTTATCTCTATGAAATCTTGAGATTAAAAAGAGCATGAGTTCCTGTTTCATCCCACCTTATATTCCTTTCTAGTACTGAAATTAAATGCATACATGGCCACTACCTACTCTCTATGGCTAACTACTGTGGCTGCTGGGATTAAAGGTGTGTGCAACCAC